CCTGTGCCATTCCACATTATTACAAATAACTTAATTTCTGGACATTTATGGTTTGATTTCTTTATATGTATGGATCACTTGGGTTGTTATTGACAACTGGTGAAAATTTCATGTCATTAGCACCTCTAGTAATATATTTACTGAGACAAATGTTGACGTGTCCAATGCTTATTTTACCCACTGTATTTAATTGGGCAGGATTTTTTGGCAGGCTTAACTATACAGTAGAAAGCAAGTACAAAAAAGTGTCCTGTACTCATTTATTGTCTTGTACTTCTGCCCCCTCATACAGTGACTACTGAAATTCAGTGACCCCCCCCCCCCCCGCCCCACACAACCCAGAAAGAAATTAAAAATTTGGAAGGATGGCTCTTTGTTCTGCAAAACTGTCAGAATTTTTATTTTTTTTAGCTGCTCCCATCTTCAGGGGTTGCTACAGTGAGCAAACATACGTAAAATATTTGGCAACTGATGCCCCTCCTGACACAACCTGGGCTCAAACCCGAAGCCTCAGGATTCCAAGTTACACACCAGTAAAACATCAAATTACTGAATACATTCACAATAGATTAGGCCCCATATGGCTGATCAGATTTTTTTCTGTTTCACAGTCAATCAATCACATCATTAAAGTAAAACTATTTGATAATTTGACCCTTTGCATGTATTTTTTTCTTTTTTTCCCTTTCCCCCAATTAAAATAAAGATAAGATGCCAACAAATTGCTTTGACAATTTTGAATTAATGCACAGTGAGATAATGGTAGGTTTACACTAGAGGATGCTTCCCCCTGCTTTTTTTAATTAGAAATTGGTGGAAACATTATAAACATTTAATATCTTACCTGTTGTAGATAAGTATTTAATAACTTCAGTTTTGGAAATAGGAAGTTAAGTCTTGGTGGTTCATGTAAACACTATTGTATAGCCTTACACACCACTGTCAATTTTATAATTATTCTAGCAGAAACATGATAGCTTGTTGGACATCTCCCAGCTACACTGAAAGTGCTACAACTAATTGTCCAAAGATGAGATGTTATAAACACTATGGCTCAAAATGTTATTGTAACTATTGTTTTATGTGACAAAAAATAATAAATTACACATCACTGCTATGAGAGAAGCACTGCTGAGTCATCTTCAAAGCAATAAAACACTGAGAAAAATGTTATGTTTCTACGTCATTGCTTAAATCTGTGCGTTACGTCTAGTATTCTCAATTTTCCGATTTGTCTTTCACAGGTAAACATGCTGATTGGAATTGTGGTGTTCAACAAGCTCATGTCTCGAGATGGCATCTCGGACAAGTCAAAAAAGCAGCGAGCAGGGTGAGTTCATTTTTAGACACACACACACACACACACACACACACACACACACACAC